GGACGCGTCTGTGTGTAGAGGCAAAAAGTACCGGGCGGACACCATGGGCAGGGGCTGGCGCTCGAGCTCGCGCAAGTCCGCCAACAACCGTCGTTGTGCTCCGCTGCTCATGGTTCGCCCTTACGCGGAGCGGCTCACCTCTTGGATGGACCAGAACATCAATGAATGAAAGAAAACATAAAAAAATCCTAATGATCTAATAAAGTTGATTGACACAAGCAAACAAGGCAAACAAGGGTACCTGTTGGACCGTACGGCTGGAGCTACCCGCAAAGCTCAAAACATCAAGGTACAGCCACGAATGTTGTGCTGCCGGCAAACAAATAAATGTTGCTTTTTCGCAAATCATTTCTTTCTGGCTTTTTCCTGAGGTTGGCTTTTGCGTAGTTCATTTGTCTGAGCTCCTTCTCTTTCTCTTTCCTAGGGTGAGGGCTTCTTCTGCAGCAATGTGAGTTCATAGGGAGTTAGCTTGCTGATGATGTCATACCAGGGTGATTGGTTGTTTGTGTTGCTCCCTGTGTAATCCTTAGGGAACAGCTCAAGAAGGTTACCAACATCATCTGCATCTGCTCACCCATTGGCTGGGAAAGTTTGGCCATTGTATGTTCTCTCTTTGCTTCTACACGCCTGGCAGAGTTGTCTTTGATGTGCACCCCATAACCCATCATGTCAGATAGAAAAGAAATTACGTTTCATTGAGAATTTCTTCTTTTGGCTTGTGTGCAGTGATGACTGAGGAGGTGACTGAGGTGCTGTTTGCAGTGGCGCTGTGGAGGCGAGTGGGGTGGCAGACAGGCAATGTGGGGAGGGACCACTGCAATGATGAAATCACATATGACTTGAATGTCTGCTTCACCACTGTGCCCATTGAGGTGGGTGGTGGGTCTCTTCCCAGTACAGGCCAGCCCTCTCTTTCTTTGCTCCACTTGGTTGAAGACAAACAGAGCCAGCACTGGGGCAGCCATGTCTGGTAATTTCTGCCACCCACCCACCCACATTCATGCTCCATTCTAACACTTGGCCACACCACTCATGCACACAACCAACAACACACATCACCACACACACACCTCAATCTCAGGAGAATGGGCACCCAGATGTACACAAGGCCTGCATTTCATTCTCCTGAGATTGTGTCCACAGCAGTGGCCTCATGACTCTTTCTGTAACACTGTGATGTGGGCAAAGGTGCACATGCTGGCCAACCACTTGCTGAGCTCACCAGAGTGCTTTGCCAGCAAGTGAGTGGTTGAGCTGGGCGCAGGTACCAGCCTGGTTGGCCTGGCCTTGGCTGCTGCTGGTATGTGCCCTATGCCTCTGACCAGTCACATACTGACATTGCCTTGGCTGGTGGGGTGGTTGGCCCAGGAGCTGAGATTGTGTTGACTGACCAGGCCACTGGGCTGCCAATACTGGAGTGTAATGCTGGGCTCAATGCCAACACCCTTCACACTGCTTCATGCCAGCCGCTGACTGTCTACAAGCTCACTTGGTTGGGCTACATCATCACCACTCTTCATCTTCACCACCAGCATTTATTTGATTGGTGTAGGTGCTGATCAAAGGGCATGGGCAGGGGTGGTGATGTAGGCAACTTGTGGCCACTGGTTGATGTGGTTGTGTGCTCAGACTGCATCTACATGGCCACCTTGATCACGCCATTGGACCAGACCATGGTCTCACTGAGCAATGCACACACCAAGATTTGGGTATGGTCTCTTGGCGGCCACAAGGTCAAGTGGTTTTGGAGTAACTAATGGTCAAGATGGTGCCACCAGGTTGGGCATCACCACCACAGCCCCAAAGTGGAAACACTGTTTCAGGAGAAGGCCATGGCCATGGGTCTAGTGATCAAGAAGGTGTGTGAGCATGACTTCAGGCCACATTGATGTGCTGGAGCTGAGCCTTCCTCCTCCCGTTTTTTGTGGTCCCAGGAAGCCGAGGTGCACAACAGTGAGCAGTATGGAAACGTTCGGTTCAACATCTTACAGCTTCAGGTCATGTCACACGAATAGCGCACAAATTCAGAGCTTCGGCCACCATCACCCGCTGAATCTGCAGCTGGACAGCAAAACCGGCTGTGGCGCAATTGGTAGCGCGGTAGACTGTAGTCTTGATTGATCACCTCGGTAGTCATCTATCGGTTCCTGGTTCGAGTCCGGGCAGCCGGAATTCTTTTTCGAAGCAGCATTTTTTTTGCCCGTGGTTCCTTTAACAACCATGCAAAAAAACAACATATAGCTGTGATCCTTAAGCAAACAAAAAGGACAAGCTCAACTCACTCCCTCTTTCATTGCAACTTTCGCTTCAGCACTCCAAGTTCAGGCCATTCTATGAACTTCTCAAGTTCCTCATACCACTGCAACATTGGAGTGTGGTAGAATTGCCTGATCACACATTTGAATGAGTGGGATGCTGTGCAGGGAGGGGGGGGGAAAAGGTGTGAGCGCACCGCTGAAAGTCATGGACCATGAGCACGGAGTCACTGGAGATATAGCCCAGGGCCTTCTTTGCACATGGCACACGTGCCCTGTGGTCAATACAAGTGGTGCACACATGGCACATGACATGATGTAAACG